GCGAGGTTGAATATATTTGCAGACGACAAACATAAACAAATCGCGCCAAAGTGACTTTTGTTACGAGTTCAAATCTTTCGACTATTTGATGTATAATTATAATTACGTTAATTTTATAAGTATTTAAAGTATATCATTAATAAGAATCTTCACATCTTTTTTTTATTATTCTCTATAATCAACTATAGAAAAAAGACGTAATTTTTTATCCGGATTATGTAACCAGAAGCGTATTAGTTAAATTGCGCCGTTTACGTAATATTCTACTACCTTGTTTGTGTTAGTCAGTTTTTTGTTAAATACTAAGATACGTATAAAGTGTTAATATTTCAATACAATTAAACGAAGTAGTAAAAACTTAATATAATTTAATGACGAAAAGATTCTTCTAAAGATAATATGGCCATAACTAATAATTATTATATTGTAAAATTGTATGTGGTTTAATTGACTAGCGATTTTCATTCCAACCAATCGCTATATCTTATAACTTGGGCCATTTGGTGACGTATTTGACATTGAACAGTCGACCCGATTAAGCACGGCAGATGAGGCTAGATGTTTCGTCTCTGTCTATCTCTGCTTACTTAACGTACATTCCGCAAATCATTTTACATAATTAACGATCTATGTCCCTATTGTTACACAGTCTATATCTAGATCTTTCGTTTGAATATCATTGGAAAAACGAAAGTTGTGCAGCCGAGTCTATAATTACAATACTAAGAGACTGTTCTTACTCCGTTTGAGGAGAGCAAGGTACCAGTTCATGTCATGAAAACTGAAATATTCGTTATTTCTTTCTTTCATTCAGTGTGGATATCGTAGGTTTTTAGTTTTTATATCTTTATTATAGCAATTTTTTTGGACTCTTTACGAAATTTATGAAAAAGTAACAGATCATACGATTCTTAAACTCCTACATAACACAGCTATCAGAATAAAGTGACGATAATCTCCTATAATGTACTGCTAATAAAATTACTGCTCAATATATCGGCATATTTACTTCTAAAAGGTGTAAACAATTCGCAAAAAATATGAATTTCTCTGAAGAAGACTAAGTAATTTGAATTCTTGAGGAAAAGCAACAATTTTTATATCATCTAAACTTAATAGTATTCACACTATAACTCAAAGACGCTCGATAAATGATTCACGATTTAATTTGTAAGTATGATTCGGTTTTAGACAAGTTTCATGAGCATAAAAAGATAGTTAAATTACCCTACTGGTATACCAGAAAAGGTATTCAAAATCGTAGAGATATCAGGTTTCTATTTTGTTCTAATCGATCAAAAATAGCCTTCAATTTTGAGAAAGAAAACTGCGTAAAAGTTGGCATAATCTTCTATTAACAAAGTCTACGGTTACATTACGAAACTAACTTAGCTTATTTGGTAGTAGTTTCAAACTATATTATTTGGGTACTAACAGGGTTTTTTCTTTTGGCACTAATTTAAGGAATATTTTTAAACACTGGATATAGTATAGAGGAATTGCTTCCTAGAAAGAAAATCACCGATATAGGCCCAAAGATGTAAAAATAGATCCAGTCAGTGAATTCTGAATTCACGTATATGGTTTTATAGGTAAACCAAGAGCTTTATACTATAATTATGCCAAAAAATAATATTCATGCAACGACTGATATATTCGACATGTTTCAAACATAATTCTACCTTCCAGTAAATGTTTGATAGTATTTTGGTTGTTTACTGCTCATGTATAAGGTACAGTTTTAATTAATGAAGACATTCCTTCCTGGCCAGTCGGTTACTAAAATATAAACTGTAACTTATCTTAACATAATTAGCGGTGTCGGTTGAACAGCAAAGAGTCTCAAGATGACGATGACCGACATAAAATCAGATCGGAATGTACAAACAAGCAAATTTTATTGAGCATTGTTTATTATCAGTTATCGCGGGACTTGGAGTGATAATTGGCATCATACACCTGGCTCACAAACAAAATATTGTTAACAAGTATTCCTTATGTCATACGATAATGAATAAAATAGCCAGTTTTTGCTACATTTTTTTAAAGTGATAATCATTTGTTATTACTACGTCTGGTGTATTTTGTTTTTGTAGTGAAACAGCTTTTTGTTTTTATGTAAATGAGGAGTATGTATTGTCTCAATTGTGTCGAATGTCAGCGATAATGAGGATAAAAGATAACATTTCAGTAAATAAACCGATTAATACATAGGTGCAGATGTTTCAAAGACGTGTCACGTCACGTCACGTCATGACACGTCACGTCAAAAAAATCCGTACGATTCCGATCAGTAACTTGTACAACCTCTCCTGATGTCATCAGACCTTGCGGAGACAGCTTCTTGATATAAAACAGATATTCAATTATATATTTTAATTTTTATGTTTTTCCTCGCTTGAATTATATTTCTTTATTGTAATGCTATTGACAATGAAATTATTGTTATTGCGGTAAATTTATTTATAGAACGTAATTTTATGGCGAATCATGAAAGGAAACTTCGTTTAAATCACTCACAGAAATATATTCTGAATTATTTCTTTTTAGTACTTTTACGGTTTTATAATTAAATTTTACATTTCATATTAGAGAATGTATAAATGGCTTATTTAACTGACATCAAAAACGTGGTAACTGAATATTTTTTTACTTGAAGACGTAAATGAAAAATATTTTTTTAATAATTTTCACTTATCACATTATTCTAACATTACCATTACACACGTATAAGTAATTTCAATGTCAAATTTCTAATAGCATTATTTTATTTAACGAGTTATTGATCGGTGGCTTTGACGTGTCCAAATATTTCAAAATAATATTGTACCGGAGTGTTATTCACTAAGCTACATTAATACCAATGAACTACTGCTCCGACATGGAATTTCGACGGTCGAGTTAATTAAAGTTGTTTGTATGTAAATCGTATTTCATATTTTTTTGTATTTAAAACAAAGCTGTACTAAAGAGTACGCGCGAACATAAATTAAAGAATGATAAAATCAGAAGGCACTAAACATTTTCTATGTTTATAAATTATAAGCGTTGTATTTACTGTGACTGTTGAAAAAAAATATTAATTTTTTTTTATTTGGTATAATTCATTAAATAAGAACATTCCTGAACGTCATTTGTGTAAATATTGACGCGTCCATCTTGACAGTTGTCAATCTAGCTGTCAGTGAAGTTGCAATGTAATTCTTCCTATTGACTCACGGAAAACAAACTTTTTTGGTAAAAATATCTGTCAAGTGAACTATATTATAGAGTAGTATAGAGTAATTCCACAGAACTATTTACTGATGACATCTATGTATATAGGTATGTCTGTGTGTCACGTGTCAACACACAATACCAACATTATGTGACGTAGTCGGTAAACATCGCGCGCGAGTTCCGTCATATATTTTTATTAACTCATCTTAATAAAATTCCTTTGTTGTTAATATTTTAAACATTTTTCTTATTATAAAGTGTTATATTATTAGTTATTTCAATTGAGTTAAAAGGTATATTTATATTTTGTTTTGCTGTCATCGCGTGTAATTTTCGTTGTGGGTATTCACCGGTTATGACGTCACTGTTGCTATGTACGAAATAAATTATTTACATATAATATTTAATTAAATGCAATATATAATTATGAATAACTGGGAATTTCTATTAGATTAATATTTTCCCTTGAACTTTAATTTAAATAAAGATAATATTGACTTTAACGTCCGATATCTTACAACGGGTTTATACAGTGGGAAAAATATTAATATAGCAATAACCGACCACTGATACAGAATGATTTATTTTAACTGCACAATAATATATACAAAAAATTAATATTATAATAATTTCTATATGTTTTATTAATATTATATTTAATGTACTATCCGAACGCTCCCGAGTACATTATTACTTCTAGAAAGTATCACTCGCAACTACATTTGCTTAAACTTTCGATTTGTTATAAATTCTTTTCAACTCTGTTTTCTCTTCACGTACTCATGACCGTAATTCATTTGTTTTGGTCTCACAATCGATCTACGAACAACCCGTTTTATTAATTATAAAACACACTAAATATTACTAACACCGGAAAATAAGCCAAATATCATCGATATTTACATAAGATAACGAATTATAGAACAGGATTGCTCTTATTATGTTTAAAATATGTATTAAAAGTTAATATTATTGCGATTAATATTATAAAGTGTTACAAATGTGTGAATGACGTCGTATGATGCTGTACCAAATGAACGTCGCCTTTAAATTTCCCTGGCGTTCGCACACATTGACACTAATACAGCTACTGGTTTACATATGTGTGAGTGAACGTACTTTACATCTGTGTGCGTGCGTAGTTACACTCTACAAAGTCAATAAACTGTAAGCGCACCTTATGGATATATAAATAAGGGTGATTATAGTATGAATATTAATATAATAGACGCATAAATAACATGGCTCCATTGTACCGTATTGTTTCATGTTTACTCGTATCTGTGTGAGGTTAAGTAGAGCGGTGCTATCTTCGGACAGAGATTCCATGGAGTTTAGATTAAAAAAGCAAATATTACAAGCATTATGGTGTTAATAGGTGTGTTAGTAATTAAATATTATATATCGATATGAATAATATGAAAAATGTTAATTACTATTGGTTTTGAAATATTATGAATGCCTTATTAATTGTGTCTTTTATTTTTCATTGATTTCTTAGTATAATTGTCATTGTAATGTAAATGCTGCAGTAATTTGTCGTCAGTTTCGTAATTCACCTACTTTCGAGCGATCAGTGTACATTAAGTGAGACCCCAACTTGCCTCCACGCAACAATTGTTTCTTTAGGAATCTTTTATTTATGGCCGCGTTCGCTTGTGTGAGTGGGCGACGGCGCCCGTGTCTTACCTGTGCCGCTTACGATACACGACTTTCGACTTTATTTGTATTACTTTAAGGTTTATTTTGATAAGTCAGTATAATGTTCCACCGATAATAAGTCAACGGTCGAAGTCGCCCGTTTGACAGGATTCCAACGTCTGCTGTTTGTTTATTGTAATCGGTTTGACAATGGGCTTAAGGTGCGCTTTGGACTGTCCGCCGTTCTCGGCGTCCGTGTGTCCGTGTGTCCATGTGTCCGTGTGTCTCGCCGGCCGTGTGTCTCGTGTCACGCTGGCCGTGCACTCGCCTCTTAACGCCCATAATTGCCCGTCCGAGTTCTTAAAGCTCTTTGTTGATTAGTTTCGCTTTGATTTATATTAAAACACTTGTTGCTAATTGTTTTGCGTTACTCACTCGCTGAATATTTTGACAGTTCTGTTTGATAGCTCATTCATTTTAATGGTATTATAAAATGATTTTGACATTGTTTTTTTTTTATTAAAATGCGTATGATTTGATTATTATTCCAAATATTATATTATCATAATGTATATTGTTAACATTTAAAACAAAATTAACAATAGCTGTACTAGATATCGGTATCCGTAAAAATAATTATACGTCAACGGTTTTTGTTTTCTCTGGAGAACGTACAAAAAGTGTTTATAACTTGGATAATCTGCGGATAACGGAAGGTCAATGAGGAGAGTCGATCGCATGGCGGCCCGATGACGCGCCGTGACAGACGCCCAAAGAACATACTGTTATAACGACAGGCAAGCTATATCGACATACATCACGTTACAACTAAGAGGTGGCTTGTATTCGTTACATACAGAACCGGCGATGTAATACGAGTATTTGTCTAAAACAACAGAAGCGAACACTAAATACATAGAGCTCGGGGCTAGCTGCGCACCTATCGCCGTCCCTCTCGCACTCACGGTATCGCAGGCCATTTGGTGCGCGAGTGTCGCCGTCCCGCTCCCACGCCGGCGATCTCCTTGCAAGTGCCGCGCGCAAGGTCGGCCGGCTTAATTAATAAACTCACCGTAAAGTATTTGACTCGACCCGAACACTACAATCTTGAAGGCTTTGTTTTATTTTACTATTGACCCGCCTCTGAGGTCCCTTAGTGCGATTGCCTAATGGCCGAACAGTGAAAACGTTCCGATGTGCAGCGTAATGTTATTATTGGGCGGTATTTTAATATGGCCATTTGAAAGTTTGTAATCTTACGTAATACGGTATTGATGTTACATTTAGTTACGACAGGTATAACCAGATCGTAGTAATTGTTGGTGGGGTCGTTGTGTACGTTTGTTTGTTATTAATATCGCCATGTTTTGAATACATCAATATTAAATTAGTTGTCATCAGCCGACCTTTGACGTCGTTTTAACACGACGCGGTTGATTCACCGTCTCTTAATATAGATATTATTTGTTCTGTAACTATATAAATATAACAGACACGACCGGGCACGCGCCGCGAGGAATATACGATGGAAAAAAATTAAACTGATAAAAACTCCGCGGACAGCACAGCTGACAGGTCGTCATGTACTCTATTAACACCTGCGCTTCTGACCTTGAGAAGTTGTCTGAAGCGCTGCGAAGCGGTGTGAAGCACTGTGAAGCGGTGCGAAGCGCAATGAAACTCACATGACGTTTGACATAGGCGTGCGCCTGAGATTAGTAATTTTAAATTATTGTTACATGTGTAATGAATTTAATTATAAGAGTTACATCAGAACTGGTTCAGGCGGTGACTGACGCGGACATGCATGTGTAAATATTGACTTGTAACTTTTAAAATGATTAAAACACTTGCTTATATTTATAAAAGGAATTTGTGATTATTGCGAAATAAATAAATATAGAACTAAAATCAAGTCATGCAATGTAGTGTTATGCTTCTTCTATTAAACCGTCAGTATCGCCGTACATACGATTCCAAGCGGCGTCAACGAACTAAGGACATCGTTTTTGACACCTTAAAATATTACAGCCATTTGTCATCACGTTATTCGAATGTCAACAATAATTTGAATGTTTTTTAAAAAATTCGCACGAAACGTCAAAAAATTTATGCCAATTTTCTTTTTATATTTCACATATGAATTATTGCGTCAATATATATCTGTTACATAAATATTTACAAAATATTGCATATTATTTGATATGATTTACTTATTTTTTTAAATTTTTTATTAATTAGATGATTTTTTTATATGGCAACATTGTGACGGTAATGTCATAAAGAGAATATTCAATATTTTTTTGTGAAATGAGGTTTTATTCTGTTAAAAATTAAAACAAAAAGAAGCCGACATAGTTGTAATAGCAATTATATTATATATTTAAACAATACGTAGGTATGTTATGAGTGTAAGTAGCGGTGAGTGTAACTGTATAGCGTTCTCGGTCCCGGCTAGATCGAGCGCGGGCCGCGGGCAGTCATTTGCATTATTTCCTTGTAAATTAAACAAATATAAACAAATCGACACCTCGTTAATGTATAGCCTTATAACCATAAATAAATCAATTGAATCTGTTCAGCTCGAGGTCAATATATTACATTAACAACCGGTATTTGATATTTACAACTTACTTGTATGAACTAAATGAAAAATCTTATTATGTCAACGATGTATGTATATAATAATTGTTATATAAATGTGTGTGTGTGTGTGTGTGTATTGTCAGAGTGTTATGTAAGCCGGAGAGCGTCTTCTACTTTCAAATCAAGTTTATTGACACGGAGTCTCAGCAAGTGTTTCACAGTTACATTAGCTGCTCTTTGATTACGGCCGACCAAATACGAGATTATGTTACTACAGGCACCGATCACGGAACTATGGTTAACATATTATAAATATTTATCTTTTTTTTTATCCCATACATATTGATTAAGTATTAAAATTTAGTTATAAGTACGTACGCGGTATAAAGCATATATATTCGCCGCGAATTTCAAAAGAATTAATAATATTTAACAAGTAGAGTATTTATTGTAATTATAATGTATGGATCAAAAATAACAATTTCTATGAATAAATAAATAAATATAAATACATATATGATAAATACATTGTTACTAATTTGTAAGCGACGCGATGTTGACGATGAGATTTATGTACGGCCGAGGTCAATGACCGAAATAAACATTATAACAGACGTACATATGTGTATATATATATATATATATATATATATATAATGTGTTATATAACATCATAATTATATACCTATGTATTGTATTCAGTATCAATTATAAATATAAATGTCCATAAATAATAAAATTACAAAAAAAAAAATTGAATATACGTTCTATTTTTAAAATGAAATCAATTTCAAGCTGTTACATTAAATAGTTCAGGGTGTGACGCCAAAATAGTGACACGGATTTATTAAATATATGTATTATATATATAAATATATTTTATTCTGTCTTTGCGTATGTGACATCGTTAGTGAGTGACATCAAAACGCGAAGCGGTGAGATCGGAACGACATACTTACAATATATATTATATACTTATATGTATGTATATTTTTATAAATAAATCGTCATGATGAAATCTGCTTCTTCTATCTGCAATTTCCCAGCTTTAGCCAGGATCTGCCTAATGAAATCTATAAACATTATAAATATGTATTAAAAAAATATATATTTTTCCGCTATATACGTAAAAAATATTTTTTTTCTCTAATTATATATCATATTAGTATCTTTAATTAATTTTCTAAGCTTTATATATTTTTTATACGCTTGTTTCCAATCTTTATATGTACACTCGCTTTTTATTTTTCGTGTGACAGATACAGTCATAAACAATATGATGCATCGACGAATATACGGTGTATTAAAGAAATTAGGTTTTTAAAATACTTACAGAATTTACTTGCTTACGATTTTCTCTTAAAAAATGTTTCAAGTAACAGTTGCTTGGTATTTTTTGTGCAAAATATATATTATTTCATATTAAAATATTATCATAGTTTTCATATTATGTTCGTAAAATTGTTGTCTTAATACTACATATTTATGTATTGTCTAGGTTCTTCTACCACTACTATGGAAGCCTTATTGCATGTAATATAGTATATTGAACGATCTTCGTAGCTTCGTAGCAGTCGTGACGTCACAGCCCTACGGCTACGGCTACGAAGCTGTGCTACGGTAATATATTATAGAACGTGTCCACTTTCTTATAGATTGCAATTTGACCTTTACATAAGTGTATGTACGAACGTTATATTAATTGTTATAAATGCAGGCGATTCTCTCCGGGCGCTATGTTATGTACAGTAAGCGGCGCAAGTGTATCCAATCTGTTAGCAGGCTGTGTACGGACCGTGACGGCATCTCGGTCGCTAACTGTATCACATCGGATGAGATGTAATCGGATGGATTGGTGTCAAAGTTTGTTGGCGACTTTCTAAACCGTAATTGCACGGAATGAGGGTACTTTGATATTTTTGTGAATATTTTTTTTATGAAATATTTCGACATTTATATTAAATAAATAAATTTTATTGGTAAAATATGCTGATGTACGGCTATATTTGGGTGATTTTTTATAGTTATTGGGCTACCGAATATAGTATTGAAGGTACACACCTAGTAACTCATTAAAGTAAGTTCATTAAGTAAACACTGTGAGATAAATGTTTTAGTTAAGCGAGTTGACCGCAGCTTCGATAATAACCGTGATATCGCGATCATGACGACTGGAAAAACTCGTTTGGATGCTCGCCATCCTTAGAGGTGAACGCGACAATACTCAGACACTTAACAACTTGACAATATACTTATACATCGCTGGTTTAATCATTATTCGATCAAGTTTATCAACTAAACCGTCGATGTACATCAAAGTATTGTATTTATTACATGAGAATGACGTTCGTGAGCCAGGATAGTGGGTTCGTGGTGGGTAGAGAGCGGCTTCATTCATGCCGCCCGGGGCGTTCTTCATGAGATCTCATCTTCCAATTACCGGCCATACATACATCGCGTTCAAGTAATTGTTTTATTAAAGACGCCTCGAATGAGGAAGCTGTCGGTTGATTAATTTATTCCATCTATTAGGAAAACATGATTTTTCTCAATAAGTTAAAAATGTTCGAGAGTATTAGAGTCATGAGTTATATTGGTGACTGCATTTGGTTACTCAGATCAACCTGAGTGATCTTTTAGTCTTGAAACTGGTCGTAAGACAGCCATCATCATCATTCTCTTAAACAAACTAAACCCAAATGAATCTGATTCGCAGATAAATTCGCATTAATACTATGAGTGTTATAATATTAATATACAGTTGCATGTATTGTTCGCGTGACCTGCCCTAAGACGGTCCGACGAGTATTCCTAGTAAGTCACAGTAACTCGTCGTAACTCGTAATGTCCAGTCCGACTCGTTCGTTTGACCGCTCCTTCATACTCCACTTGCTTCGTATTGTAACTCACCTCATTAGACAATAGCTTTATAAATGTATATTTAAAAAAAAATTACGTAATCGCTTCAAGGGAAAACGTTCATATAAAACATTGACATATTTTATGACGACTTGGAACGTACGGCCTTAAATACAGTTAAACGAAAATCGACCTTAATTATTAATGAATACGGTTTATATTAATATAAATAGCACCAAAGTCGCGTACATCTTCGCAACTTTTGTACGTATAAGGTAGTTACATGATTCGTTTTCCGGTCCCCGCAAATACATTTTGTTTATGAGACATTGGACCGGTTACTTTGTATACTTATGACATTTTAAGAGTATGTATAACGAGGTCATTTCGCACTAAGGGGCAACTGTTGATGTACAATAACATAAATATTTTATTTTGACGTTCATTAAAGCCTTAGAAATATTACCTGTTATGTGAAAATGAATCTTCCGGGCTTGTTTTGTTAAATAGAGTATGATTTGGTGATGCTATCTCTGAGTGAAGGCTTCGGGTCGAACTGAACTATTGTGAAACTCCGTTTGTTTGGCGAATACTTGATT